GATGAGGTGAGCTCAGAGATACTAGAGAGACACTTAATAAGTTGTGATTAATTTACTCTGAATAATGCATCGATGTGAAGACATTTTTACAGCATTCTTCAGATTAAGTTACCTACCATTCTGAGGCTCCTCTCACTGAACAGGAAGTTTGTGGAGTGGGCAGGGGGAGTCTATCTTTTGCAGTAACTGAGTTGAGCTCCTGCATCTCAAGCTCTTGCCTTCACTTCATTGTTTCACTATAGCTTTTGGGATGTTTGGCAGTCAAAGTAAACCAAATTTATCTGTGGTCCAACACATTTCAGCAGCTTAGAATTATGAACTTTACTTCATGTTCATGCTAAAAGTCCCCCATGGAAGGGACAAGAAGGTCTTACTGAGGAACCAGATTGGCAGAGGCCCCATCTGAACAGGCTTCCTTGATCATAGGGGCAGGGGAGAAGGAGCATGACAAACCACATGGGGCTCTTGAAGCTTAATATTGCTCATATTTCTGGAAATGACCCATCATATTGCTCATATTTCTTTTGTCAAAGCAAGTCATATGGCCATATCTGGGCTTAAAAGGGAGAACATGTATAATTTTTCTACAGGGAAGTGCCCCCAAATACTTGGACAACTTACCACAAAGAGTTAACTGAAAGTTAACAGAAAACCCCTCTAAAAGCAGCTTAAACAATTAAGGGGTTATTTTCTTACACAACAAGAAGTTTGGAGGTAGATCAAGTCTCAAGTTGATAAATCCAGTAGCTCAAAGATGTCTTCAGGGACCCACTTTATTGCCATCTTTCTACTTTACCATCCTTAGGATATCAGCAGTATCTCTCTTTGTGGTCACAAAACAGCTGTAGCAGTGTCGGCCGTCACATGCAGACAAGGAACACCCAGAGAAGAATGATAGTGTTTCCTTCCACTAGTCTCAGAGGATTGAGAAAATCTGTCCCAGAACCACCAGCTTACCTCGGGTCCTGTTGGCTAGAACTAAGCCACGTGGCCATGACTCAGCCAGTCATGAGCAATAGGAAAGACCACTTCCTGGGATACGAAAAGGCCTATTTTCCCTTTGCACAAACAACTCTGATTTCTATAAGAAATATGCCACTGAACATAAGAAATCAAGAAAACAGGTAACCCAGTTTTACCAATTATGGTAAGCTCCTTTATTCTGGGTGTAAATAAAGAGGGACAATTCTTTTATGAAAAGCCAGCATTTGTGCTTACATAATTATTCACAGTCAAATAACTATGGGCAAATAAAGCAAGCAAAACAGGCATCTAATAGGGAAGGATCATTTACCTAACGGGCAGGGAAATAAGAAACTACTTTGGACTGATATGACACTCATCTCAAAAGAGTTGACCAAAAGAATTCACCACTCCCTTCTTTGTGGCCACCCTGGACTACAGCTTAAATGTTCTTTCTTCATCATTCACCCACTACACTTTATTGCCTTTACCTGTGTACCTATCTCCAACTGCAAAACGATGAGCTCTTTGAAAGATGTGGCGTGTTTCATCTGTTTATTCCTGTGCATGCTAAAAATAATAATGGGTAACATCATTTGATTGCCCGCTGTGTACCAGAGCCCATTCTAAGTTCTAAATGAATTGATTCTTGTAATACAACTGTCCCATGAGGCATGTGCTATTATCTATGCTTAATACCTAAAGAGTTGGGAGGGTGAAAAGGTTAAGTCATTTGACCAAATGTACACAACTATTAAATGATAGAGTTGAATTTCAAATGGAGGTGGCCTAGTTGGGTTATGCATGGTACATTTGCCCCCAAAACAGGTGAAGCTAATCTGCTTTAATATACAATATGAAGGTGTGAGAGAACAAGAGTGAAGGACAAGAGATATTATCTTTTATTTACATGTAGAATCTGAAATCAAGTATGATAGACTTAAATTCTCTGAAGGTAGAGATCATGTATGTTTCCCTTGCTCAGGATGGAGTCTCTATCTCCTAGTATACTTCCTGGCACACAGTAGGTCCTCATGTGTTCCTGGAAGTGGGGGAGGGAGAACAGGAGGGACCGAGGGAGGAAAGAAAAGAGGGAAGGAGGAAGGAAGAGAGAATGAATGAATAAACACAGTTAATGTCCTCTTTGTCTTGCTCCTTATATTTTCTACCTTCTTTTCCTGTATTATTTCTATGGGCAATTTCGTGTCTAAAATTTACAACATCTTACCTAAGATAGGGGGAAGTGTTAGTTTCTCTAAGTATCAAGGGTTTTCAAGAAGAGAAGAGTTTAAATGTAACGTTGTTGCAGAGTAGGGAGGATTCTCTGTGCCCTATAATTCATTTGGCTTTTGAAACAATGTGTCTTATATAAAGTTGATTTTTCCTCAAACAGACACATTTTTTAAGAATTTGTGGACTTGTGCTTTTTCTTCTAATTGTGTGCCGCTTGAAATGTCAATACAGTGTATGGACATATTGATTTTTTTTTTTAAATCAATGCAAGGCCATAAACAAATGAACAGTAATAATTAAGGAAATGGCCACTGTCAGTTGATGGAAATATTACTGTAGAAGTCCCTCCACCAGCAACATGTTTCAGTAGACAAGTAATAGGTTGAGAACACTAAAACACCATGTTTCTTCTTTATTTTAGCCCCAGCATCATCGGTGTCTGCTTCCATAGAATGCTCCAAACAGACACACAAAGTTAATACATTAGATTTAATCGTTAGACCATATAGACCGCCACTCTGGTTTTAATCAGCAAAGTAAAATCCTGGTGAAACTGAATCATTACACTGTTGTCACAAGTGAATTTTAAGTGTTCTTATTCTTAAAGGGTGTCCACATTTCTACTGTTGATTTTGTTGTTCCGATTCCTATCCAGAGAGCTAATTTTAAAAAGTGTTTCTGTGGTCTAACCTTGAACTAGAACTTCATGAGTCCCTGAATATCCCAATTTTCCCCCATATTCCATTTTTTCCTTTGTTCTTTATTCTCAGATGATTTTCGGATTTCATTCAAATTTCTTTGAGTTATTAGGGATTTTTTTTCATATGTCTCATCCAATTTCAATATATCAAAAAATGAACTCACTGATTTCTCTCCCCCATCTGTCTTTCTCTCCTCCTAGGTTCTGTCTCTTGGTTGATGGCACCATCATTCACTCTTTGATCCAAACCAACATTTAGCCACTTTTGATGGCTCTTGTTTTTCCACTTACATACAGTTAGTTGATAAGTCCATTCATTCAACCTCTAGATCCATCCTTCCCTTTTCATTCCCATGCCCTAAGTCAGTCCCTCATCATCCTTGCCCAAAATATTGCAGTAACCCCTCCCACCCCCCAAAACTGGCTTCCATTGTGTATCTCTTATCCCACCAACCCATCTTCTATATTTCCATTCAATTATATTCTAAAAGAGAGATGTATCATGTTTCTTTCCTGCTCAGAAACCTACAATGGCTCCTTATTGCCAATTTTTAAAAAGTCCAAACTCTTTAATAACATTCAAGACTTGGGGCACCTGGGTGGCTCAGTCCATTAAGTGTCTGCCTTTGGCTCAGGTCATGATCCAGGGTCCTGGGATTGAGCTCCACATTGGGCTCCTTGCTCAGTGGGAGCCTGCTCCTCCCTCGGCCTTCCACTTCCCCCGCTTGTGCTCTCTCTCTCTCTGTCAAATAGATAAATAAAATCTTTTAAAAAATAACATTCAAGACTCATCTTTTGTTACTCCCAGCCTACCTTAGCAGTCCCATTTCCTATCACTCCCCATCATTACCTTCCTTAGTGCTGCACATACATGTGTTCTCCTCAGACTTATTGTGACATTCCTCAGTTCTATCTACCTGGCAAAATCCAAATTACCCTTCAAGGCCTAGTTCAAATACCCTCCTTGGTATCCAGGTGGAGTTAGTCAGTCCTCCTTTGCTCTCATACCATTTTGTTTCTATCCTTATTATGCCCCTGTCTTAGGTCAGGTTCCCAAATATAGACCCTGAGAGGAGGATTTGTAGGAAAGTGTTTTCTTTCTTTCTTTCTCCTTTCTTTCTTTTTCTTTCTTTCTTTCTTTCCTTCTTTCTTTCTTTCTTTCTTCTCTTTCGTTCTTCCTTTCTTTTTTAAAAGATTTTATTTATTTATTTGTCAGAGGGAGAGAGAGAGTGTGAGCACAAGCAGGGCGAGCTGCAGGCAGAGGAAGATGCAGGCTCCCCACTGAGCAGGGAGCCCGATGTGGGGCTCGATCCCAGGATCCTGGGATCATGACTTGAGCTGAAGGCAGATGCTTAACCGACTGAGCCACCCAGGTGCCCCAGGGAAGTGTTTCCTTAAGGAAATATTCCCAGAAGAGATTGGCCAGTGAATGAAAGAAGGAGACAGGCAAGAGAAAGGGATTGAGCAAGGGTGGCTTTAGACAAAGTCACAGAGGGAGTGGCTCAGCCTCATTCAGTAGAGAAAGCCTGGACATTAATTTATGCCATAGCAAGGGGGCTGGGCCTTCCTACCCCTACACCAAGCAGTCACTAGCAAGGAACTCAGCTCCCAAGCACTTGCTGCTCTCTGAATATGTTCGCAGTACTCAAGGGCAGCCGCTCAAGGAGTCATAGGTGCAAGCCATTGGAAGCAAAAGTATGTCAGAGTTGATGGAGACCGGGAATGGTAAAAAGGGATCCCCAGGCATTTGGGAGGAGGCAGATAGTGTCAGCTACACTCCTCAGTATACTCGGCCTTGTTTCCACCTAAACACCTCCAGCCCCCGGACGGTGAATTACTTGGGAGGAAAGACCCCTTCTTAGTCATCCTTATGTCCCTACAGCAGGGAAGATATTACTTCACACCTGGAAAGTGCTTAAATAGCATTTACTGGTCTGAATTGAATACTCGTTTTGTAGGTCTTTTGCAACATTTTGCTGCTACTAATCATATTCCTGGGATTTTTTTTTTTCCCCTAGCTGGTTTTAGCTCAATAATAAAAGATAGGGCTTCTGGGGTCTCAAAACTTAAGGTTCAACTTTTCACCTTGCACTTTTCTTCCCAGGGCAACAATTTGCTCAGCATATCTCTTCCTAAATTCCAAGACAGGCTGCTTGCTCTGTTCAGTCAAGACTGCCAACCCAAGAAACATTTTCAAAAGATCACAGTCAACGTCATTGCCAAAAGAAGAAGTTCTTGGCACACAAAGGACCTGGTTCAATATGAGATGCCAGATGGTGATTTCAACTTCAGCTAAATTCCTGCTGAAAAAAGTGTTTGAACTGCAGATGAGAAAAGCTTCTATGACAAATTTCCAAGTGTGAGAAGCTTCAGAGGGAAATGGCAAGTGTTGATGCACCCCTCCCCCCCAACCACATGCACACACCATAGAACTACTACCTGCATCTGGTAATTAAGATTCCGACAAAGATGTCTCTGCTTTTTAAGAAGACTGAGCCCTGATTTGATTTTTACCAATATTAAAGTGTATTAACTGAGTCCATTAAAAGCAAATACTATTTGATTACATGTAGTGTTTTTCAAAGGATGTGTCCCCTTAGCATCTGCTGTAAGCTTTTTTAGTATCTGGAGGTAGTTCTCATTCCTCTCTACCAATAACTCCATTATTAAGCCAATTAATAATCAGCATGTCTCCCCTCCCTAACTTTCTTTCTTTCTTTTTTTTTTTCCTCCCTAACTGCTTTCAAATTACAGGGAATATACATGAAGTATAAATTGATGGTGTTCTGCCTGGACACTCTTGTGTCCCTGACTTCCTTTCTCCTTCCAGGAGACTGAAAGCCCATCTCCCCTGATTCCAGTCAGGGCACATTCTGAGATGTGGTTTATGCTCCAGAGCTCCATTCAAGATTCAACTGAGGTTGAGACTTTGCCTGAAAGTGTACTCTTGGCTGATTCCTTCTCTTCTGCTTTCCCTATCTTATTCCTCCCTCCCCATCCTTCTCCTCCACCACACTCCCTTACAGAATTGAGGAGCATCTCTTTAACAACATTCTTGCACCCAAATCCTTATTTCAGGGTCTGCTTCTGGGGAAATGACTTAAAATTCTGTGCAATGGAAAAATTCAAGGCATTTCATGCTGATAGAGAGAAGGGCTATTGTTTCTGGGGCAAGAAATGTATTCATACTTACTTTATCAATCAAGATTTAGAAGGAAATAGTGGATAAACTCAAGTTAGGTATTTGGAGAATAGTTAATAAAAGGGCTGATTATAAAGGGATGGGCTGGGTGCAGAGAAACAAGGAGAATACCTGCCTGGAAACTGATAACAGGGGGTGCCATTACCAACCCTAATGGGCTCCACTGGAAAGCAGAGAACTGGTGATAGAGTTGCGTGGAGAGGGCTGTGTGACAGAAGCTGTGATCTTGAGGGATGCAGCCAGCCTAGGGGACCCTACAAGGAGCAAGCTGGCCAAATAAATACCGCAATCTCATGCTCCTTCATTCCTCCCATCTTTTACCAGTGATCCCATCAGCTAATGGGAAGCCAGGTGCAAAAAAGCCCCTTCGTGTAGCACATCTAAGCTGGCCTCTAAGGGCATATAGGGCAGGTGGAGAAGGGCAGAGAGGGCACCCCGAGGGACAAACAGAAGCTATCTGGCGTAACTACCTACCTTTTCTCTCTCTCTCTCTCTCTCTCGCTCACACACACACACACAGTTTGTCCTGTTCTTGATTTTGACCTGTGACTAGACACATATAAATAGGCACTGATTTTTCTCCCTGCTGATCTTGTTTCTTTTTATCTTATTTATACTTCAGAGAACCCAGAGATAAGGCTGCATGATACATACAATCAATCATCATACAGACTATCAATAATCAAGAATCAGACAAAATACATTTTTATTAAAGTCTGAGTATGGTATCTGGGGCATCTCAACAGTAGCCCCCAAACCTCAGCCTCTAAGATGGCATTTTTTGTAGATTGAAATATGACTACAGAGCTCACTACCATAAAATTTATCATCTCTTTGACCCCAGTATTTTGATGTAAAGAGCTCTAATTTATATCCCTAGAGAACCATGCCCATTTTCTCCCAATTGAAAACAAAATACAAATCAAAGATTTCTGTTGTTTTTTCTAATGATGTGCCTAATTGCTTTCTCATCAATCCAGGTGCAAAGATGCCCTCATTATTCGGTTTACTCCCAGATGTCCTCATTATTGGAAGCAACACTCTCTTTCTATTGGTCTCATTTTCTGTTTTTGAAATGATCATTTTCCCCACGAGCAGCTTTGGCTTGGTTCAGAATATAAAGCACTGCAAAATGTGCAGATTGAAGACAAAGGGTCACTCAGTTATTTGAAGGTCTTTGAGATTAATCATAGAAAGCAACATCCTGGTCCTCGGGATGCTGGCAGGAGCTGATGTGGGTGAGATGAAAGACAAGATGGAGAAGTACCACTTCCACATATCCCTGGAGGACAGGCAATGCTCAGCAGTGCCTTCTGGGCCTCTAGCCCTCTCTCTCTGCTGGGTGCCCTGCAGACTCAGATACAGCTGAGCAGAAAACAGGTAGGTCGTGGGGCACACATTAGCAAATGACCTACAGGGCTGCTCTTTCTAAGTACTAAAATAGTATAGGGGTGCCTGGGTGGCTCAGTCATCAAGCAGTCTGCCCGGGGTCCTGGGATCGAGCCCTGCATCAGGCTCCCTGCTCCGTGGGAAGCCTGCTTCTCCCCCTCCCCGCCCCCACTTGTGCTCCCTCTCTCTGTGAAATAAATAAAATCTTTAAATAAATAAATAAATAGTATATATTGGGCTATTTTCTTCTGAAATTTTATTTTTAAGATATTTGTGGGGGGTCCAAAGGTTTTAGAGGGTGGTGATTTTTTTTTTTAATATTTTATTTATTTGACAGAGAGAGACACAGAGAGAGAGGGAACACAAGCAGGGGGAGTGGGAGAGGGAGAAGCAGGCTCTCTGCCGAGCAGGGAGCCCGATGCGGGGCTCGATCCCAGGACCCTGGGATCATGACCTGAGCCGAAGGCGGACGCTTAACAACTGAGCCATCCAGGCACCCCTAGAGGGTGGTGATTTAAAATATATATATATCTCTAAACACCATGCTTCATTTTGAGGCAGCTGTTTGCATCACCCATGCAAACACACCATGGAAGGGGAATGCGAGGGTGGCCGGGCTCTGTGTAGGCGTCTGATGCAGTCAGTAGGAGATCCTGTTGAGCAAGGCACCCAACCCTCCCAAACCCAGGTTCCTTGTGACAACAAGGAATGAGGTTATGAAGCTAGAATCCTCTTCTTGTTCTAACATTGCACTGTGAGCTACAGTAGCCACTGGCCTCATATGGCTAGTCTGAACTGAGATGAGCATCACCAGATTGCCAAGATTCGGGACAAACGCAATGTAAGTTATATCATTAAAAATTTTTATATTGATTGTGTGTTGAAATGATAATAATTTGAGGTATATTAGGTTAAATGAAATATAAAAATTTTACTAATTTACTATTTAAATTGTGGCTACTAGAAATTACGGAATTATACATGTGGCTTATATTACATTTCTATGGACAGAATGGGTTTTTTGATTGATTGAACTATTTAAAAATGTATGTTTCTGAGTTCCCATTTCTTCTGGATGCACATCAAATTCTAGAAAACTTGAAGAAGTCTTGCTTGGGAAAAAATATTACCTCATTTTCCATTCAAGGATCTTTTTTTAAAAAAAGGTAAAAATTTCATGTCATGTAAGTGTTGAAGAGAGTGTGAGGAGAAAGAACAGCAATGTTCCTTAAACTAGAATTTCATTTTCTTCTACTTTGAGTGAAGCTGGAGTGTCAGTCTTTAGTTTTTAGAGCAGTAGAACATTTCCAGATTGCAGACACATGAAAATAGATGCTTCCCAAAGTGAAGAGCAGCCCTCCTCCCCTGCCACGCACACACATGCAACATTTCTTCTCCATGTGAGTGCCAAGTATTTGGAAAGCACCTAAATGCTCAGTTCATGAGCTCCAGGAGGCACATGTTCAATAACCACTTCCTGCTGTGCATTAACTGCTGGGTCAAATAAAGAACAGTAGACAGAGACAGGGTATCAAAATATGCCCCAGGACTGATGATCTGGGCAGAAAGGGCAGCACAGGGAAGATTCAGAGCCACATGAGAGCAGAGTGGAAGGAGGGTATGTTGTTTGGGGACACTGAGCCAACATCTGTCTGCAGGGATCAAGTAAGGCCTTGCCTATCAGAAAGGAGATCTAGGACCTGACATGAAAGAAGATGGGCTGAGTGATCTAACGGAAGCCATGTTTTAGGGGACTCATCCTCTCTTCCCTGTCATGCTATATGTGTCCGGCAACTGGAGGACCTGATTAGAATCCAGTGCTACCCAGGGGCGCCTGGGATCGAGCTCAGCAGGGAGTCTGCCTCTCCCTCTGCCCTTCCCCCTGCTTGTGCTTTATCTCTCTCTCAGATAAATGAATAAAATCTTAAACAAACAAACAAACAAAATAATCCAGTGCTACCTCACATCATTTCCTTACTGTCTCCGGTGCATGTTTTTTGCTTCCCCCAGGGAGAATGATACAGTCAAAGGCAAGAGCCAAGGTTGATGTTTCTTTTGAATATCTCATGATTTCCAGGACAGTTGTAGGCACAGAGTAGGTAACTCAATGCTTACTTTAAAAATAATAATAATGATGAATTAAATTGTGCTAAATCCCTGTGTCCTCTTCTTTCATATATTTCATGAGGGAAAATGGAGAATCCTAATTCCTAATTAGGGTTCTTCAGGGGCAAAAGTATAGATCAGTTTGCCTTCTATTTCCTGTCCCCTTTCTGTGTTTATCTCCTTTCTTCCCAGCATCTTCCTGGGTTCTTACCACCATCATTTTGTCACTGAAACTTTCTCCTAGCCTTTGACTTACGCATCTGGACGGAACCCAAATTTCCCCCTTCCTCCTTTCATCACCCATTACCTTAGGTTCTTGGGGAGAGTATGATGTCCCTTCTACCCAGACAGTCCCTTGCTTGGACTAGAAATGATGATCTGCTTTAACCATTTAGCCCTCCCTGATGCAGCTCTGTAACTTACCTGAAGATTGTTCTGATCAGTTCACATGGTCAGAGAAATAAGAAAGTCATTTATTGAAGTGTAGAAGGAGCTGTGAGTTACTATAGAGTGACAAAAACATTTTTGTTTTGTTTTTGTTTTTTAAAGATTTTATTAATTTATTTGACAGAGAGAGCACAAACGGGGGAGCAGCAGAGGGAGAGGGAGAAGCAGGCTCCTTGCAGAGCAGGGAGCCCAACGCAGAACTCTATCCCAGGACCCTGGGACCATGACCTGAGCCAAAGGCAGGCGCGTAACTGACTGAGCCACCCAGGTGCCACTGTTTTGCTTTGTTTTTAATTGTATGGTGACTAAGAAATAATTTATACCCGACTGTGACTTTAGGAAAGGGTAGACTGAGTTTGGTTAGAACTATGGGCTTTCCTTGCCCAGAAAAGAAATATAACTCTGTAGATCCCAAGGAAATTAACAAAGCCTGAATTTTCTCTCTCTCCTTTTTTTTTAAAAAAAAATTCACTTTTGTTGTCCTGACTTTAAACTAATCATTACAAAGTTACTTCAAGAAGAAACAAAGAATAACTTTCTCTTCCCTGGATTATTCTTTGGTTAACTTTTTAGAGCTTTTAGCCACCTGAGAAAACCAATCCAATACTGAAAAATGTTGCCAAAAGCCATTCAAAGACCTCACCTACCCTAATACTTTAAGGATCCTGAGTCCCCGAACAAGGCTCTTTATAAATTGAGAGTTAATATCAGAGGCAGACAAACTGCAACAGATAAAAGGGAAATGTGGTTTGTAAAGGCTGGGTAAATGTTTACGTCTCTTTTCATTTTTTTCCTTCTATTGCATAGGAGCCTGGCTACTTTTTTTTGCTATCTTCATTTTTGTTTAACAGAGAAAAGCTCAAGTGTTAGGTTCTAAGGTAAGTCCCTGCTTTTTTCCAGTGACTCTAGACTGGACTAAGATTAACCTTTCACCCCGTGCAACCTAAACTGCAGGCACATGGTATTAAATTATCTGCCTTGGTAAGACTGTCCTTGCAAAGCTACACCACAAAGTAGCCATGCTCCACACTCACCCCTCCTTTGTAGCAAGGCTGGGGGTTGGATGTCATTGCAGGTTTCTAGTCCCAGCATTAACTCCACCCCACTCACCCCTCTCAAGAAAGAGTATCTTGTGTTTCTCAAACCAAACAACCCCCACCAATTCTGACCTTTCTCCACAGGGAGTGAATGCCACCTCCAGCATCCCCTGACTCCCAAGAATCACCATTTTGAATTAATGAGCAATCCCAACCTTAAGGATTCTTGCAGGTAAAAGGGATGCTTGGAGAGAGAACCAGTAGGATGAGGCTCCCATGGCAGAGATTAAGTGAAACAAGGAAACATCCCTTCATTCTTACCTTCTAAGACTGTTGGCTGTTTTCCTCCCCAGTGAACATTCTTCTCTATAAGATGACACCTATGTAAGTATTCTGGTCACAAGTTAGCTATTCACTTAACAGTTTGTCTGTGTGTTGTGTAATTACTACTGGACGGAACCGTGCATAAAGTATATGAATGTGTGTGTGTGCACAAGAGTATTAAAAAGGGGGGGGGAGCATGTGTTGAAAGAAGAGAACTCGGTTCTAAAATAAGACTGATATGCTTTAAAAACAAACTTTTAATTTGGGGACAACTGTAGATGCACTTTAAGTTTTAAGAAATAGTATAGAGAGATCCCTTATAGACCTTTTACCCAATGGTAATATTTTGAATAACTGTAGTATAATATCACAACCAGGAAACAGACATTAATACAGTCCTAGGGCCTTATTCAAATGTCACCACTTTTGTGTGTACTCATTTGTGTACTTAGTTTGGTGCAATTTTGTCACATATGTAATCTGCTTTTGAATCTCAGCTGTGCTAAGTACTAGCTGTGTGACCCTGAACAAGCTCCCTAGCTTCTCTGAGGCCCAGTTTCCTCATCTGCAAAATGGGTATAATGTCTGTCTCCTAAAGGTGGTGCGAGGATTAGGTAAAATCATTTCTGCTAATTTTGCAGCACACTGGATTATCAATAAATGCTAGCTTCCTTCCTATCACTTGTTCTTTCAGTAGCGAGGGAATATTCTCCAGTTTCTTGCTGAAATAACCAGACTTGTGGGTTACAATAAATCAGGCAGCTCCTTCTTCAAGGCCAACACATTTAACCCTGCAGTTCAAAGAAAACACAGTGGATGTCACCTGCCCACAGCTGCTGCCTGTAGGCCTGGACTTGGGATCCTGTTTGTATCCAGATCAGAAGTGTAGAGATGGGGGGGGGGGGCGGGGAGTGAAAAAGGAGAGACTCAGGGGAAGCTGTGGAGTAGGGGTAGGAGGTGGTAGAAGGTGGTAAATACTGAACAATCGTTGGCTGGAGAGCTACCAATTCCAAGGATTTTGCATTCGGTGTGCCTAGAGACCGCGGGTTGGATGTACCCGCGGAAAGCTAGATAGCGGGTGGGAGCCTTTGAGGACATGGTGGGCAGGTGCGGAGGCCAGTCTAGACCTGGTAGGAGGATCACACTCCTTCCAGAGTTCAGTCAAGTCTAGAGCTCTTTTGTCTACTGCAGTCCCCTTCCAATGACAGCCAAGGAGCGCTCAAGGGGGAAGAAATCCAGGATCGCCTGGGAGGCACCTGAATCCCCACCTTAAGGTCCGCTGGCTGGAGGCAGAGGCCTTTCCTCCCGGGTGTCCTAGACGAAGCCGAGGGTGAGCAGGCGAGTTTGGAAGGAGAGGCTAGAGGACAGGGGGGTCGAGGGGTGAACGCACTAGCCCCTGCTTGGTGGCGACCTCGAGGCGCCGACCTCCTCTACCTGCGCGCCGCCAACCCTGGCGTTTCCAAGTTCAAATCTCCGAAGCGACCGCCCCAGCGTCATGCAGCAGCCAAGCCGGGACCGGGCTCCGTGTTCCCGCGACCCGAGCAGTCCCCGGGAGCCGGGGCGCAGTCGGCGTCTGGGTGGGGGTCGGGGGGCGGACCCCGCGAGGGCCGGGACACCGCTCGGCGCTCCTCCC